TCATCTGTAAAGCCTGAAGAGGCTAGGGAAAGAATACTTGTAAAGCCTGGAGAGGCTAGTCAAGAATACTCACTACTAGCCAAAAGTGGCTGATAAGAACATACTAGCGTCGACGAGTGAAGCCGACGGGCCAAGAGGTGGTCGACAATACTCACTACTAGCCAAAAGTGGCTGATAAGAAAATACTAGTGATAAGAATATACTAGCGCTGGTGAGTGAAGCTGGCAGGCCAGGAGTGGTCGAGAATACTTGGGGAACCAAAAGTGGTTTAAGAATACTAGAGCTGGTGATTGAAGCTAGCCAACTAGGAGTGGTTGAGAATACTCGTAACCAGGAGTGGCCGTGACTGGGATGGTCTAGAATACTCAAGGCTTGGGGGGGGCGAGAATACTTAGACCAGGAGTGGTTTTGACCTCGGGGGTCCATAATACTCAATGCTAGCCTGAAGAGGCTGATATGAAGATACTAGCGTTGATGAGTGAAGTCAACGGGTCAGAAGTGGTTGACAATACTTTTGTACTTAATTGCATATATAGTGGAACCCTTCAGTTGAAGGAGACTGGACATAGCTCGGTCTGAGTGAACCAGTATAAAATAGCTTGCACTATTAATTCCTATTTCTTAGATGCATATCTTAATTACTAATTAAATCTTTGTGAAAAACTTCGTCCACCCAGAATCTCTTAGTGAAATTAATTTTCAGATGCAGACGCAAACTTTGTTTAATATATATTTAATTCACTGAAAAGTTTTATCTACTGCCTATCTTTAAATGAAACTATCTTAAAAAGGAAAATGCAAGAACCTTAATCATTATTGTTATATGAAACATTTTCCTTCAATAGTTGATAAATTGTTCAGACGTGGTGACCTTGTGTTAAGTAAATTCTGCATAACTGTCTAGTATTTAAAAGTGCATTGGACGAAGAACATTACTCTTGCGAAAATAGCTTAAAATTTCCTTCGTACTCACACACACATATTCAACCCCCTTTATATGTGTTTCATGTTTAACTTCAATTGGTATCAGAGCTTGACCCCTTGAGTTGAGAATCTAACAATGTAGGGGTACATAACGATCCATAGAAGAACGAAGGACAAAGGAAAGCTAAAGAGCAAGGAAGATGAACGACTAGTATAGGTAAACCTAGTATCAAATCCTCTACTTCAAATGATGCATATAGTGTTTATGTTGTGAGAGTAAATTATATCTGATAGGGTAAGACATTATGTGTGCCCATGCAATTTCGTCTAAAACATACTAGAGAAACAAACATAGTAAAACACTATGTTTAATTATTCCTCAGAGTGTAGTAAGAAATTACTGCGTCTAAAAATCTCTATCTGATGAAGTATCTATAAAGGTTTCCCTGCATCTGAACACTCTATCCTCGCGTATGAGAAATTTTAGTTTATCACACTCCTAATAAATGTTCGTAAATATCAAACGATGCATCAGTCAAATCATTCATGACAATTATCTATTTCTTAAAAGATATTAATAAAGGGGATAAAATCCTTAAATTAATGATGGAACCACTTGGAGAAGATTTTTGTTCTTCAAGTTGAACCGTCCAAGATCTTTCTAGTCTTGAGGTGACACGTCGAGAAGCTTGAATCCATCTTCAAGAAACTCCAATGGTGAAGGAAGCTTGAAGGAGGTTCGGCCACTTCAATAGAGGATGAAGAAGCTTGAGGAACCAAGGCAAAGGTTGAAGAACCTTTGAGAGAAACCTTAGAGAGAGAGTTCTCTACGATTTTTAAGACTCTTGAGTGAAAGAGAAATCTGATTTCTGTTTCTCAAAATGTTCAAAAGTGATTACAAGAGTACAAATTACAAATATATAGGGAGAGGTAGCTTAGGGAGCAAGCTAACCTTAACCATGGTTCACTAGGAACCATGGTAAGGTTAAGCTTGACTGTCCATGGTTTGTAAAGCTTGGAGAGCAAGCTAACCTTGACCATGGTTCACTAAATAACCATTGTAAGGTCGGCCTAACCACCCAAGGTTTACAAACTTGGAGAGCAAGCTTCAAAGCTAGGAAGAAAATGAGCAAAAATTCGGCCAAGAGTGAAAGGAAGAGACTAGGCAGCCTTGACTCCATTTTGCTACTTTGATTTATTTCAAAAATGATGATTTGGTTTAGTTAGGTTCATCCTATTATGATGCGACCTAGCTAAATCAAATCTATAAAAAAATTAGGAGCAAAATGAGTCTAATATGCAAAATTTTTCCTAGGCCTAACTCTGGCCCAATTTCTAATCACACTCCCAAGCATTGCTAAATGCCACCCCTTTTTCCTTATTGAAAAAATAGAAAATGAATGTATCAACAAAGGAGGTTAAATGGAGTTAAACTCTCCAAGTAACCTACCCTAAAATCAATATACAATGACTAATAAAAGCAAGTAAAGTGCCTCACAAATACAAAGAAAAAAATAACCTATACAAGAGAAACTATGTACAAAATATACACAAGTAGAACTAGGCCTTCTCTTCATGATAAAGTAGTCCAAGTGAAGAGTACCTTGGGCTTAGAAAGCCCACTAGTCTTCAAGTTGTCCAACTCTTCTTGTATGCGCCTGGCCATAGCTCTAGTAACTAGACCCTTGGTCCAGGGTCTATCATCCCCTCCCTCTTGAGAAGGATTTGTCTTCGAATCTGTAGGTTCATCTTCCTCATCATAACCTGCAAAGGGAATAAGATCACTAATATTAAAAGTGTTACTTACTTCATAATCACTAGGAAGATCTAACCTGTAGGCATTAGCATTGATTCTTTAGAGGACCTAAAAGGGACCATCTCCTCTTGGATTGAGTTTAGACTTCTTTTGAGAAGGAAACCTTTCCTTTCTCAAATGAAGCCAAATCCAATCCCCTTCCTCAAATATGAGGTTTTTCTTACCTTTGCTTCTTTCAGAAGCAGTCTTCTCATTTTGTTGTTGAATATGAATTTATAACCTTCTCATGTAACTTCTTCACAAAATCAGTCCTAGATACCCCTTCTTTATGAAAATAATGAGATGAATCAGGTAGGGGTATTAGGTCTAAAGGAGTGAGAGGGTTAAAACCATAAACAACCTCAAAAGGTGAGAGTTTGGTAGTCTTGTGGACTACCCTATTATAAGCAAATTCAATATGGGGCAAGTACTCATCCCAAGACTTATGGTTACCTTTAAGGACTGCCCTCAACATTGTAGATAGGGATCTATTAACTACTTATGTTTTCCCATCAGTTTGGGGATGACAAGTAGTTGAGAAAAGTAGTTTAGTTCTTAGCCTACTCCAAACAGTTTTCCAAAAATGGCTAAGGAACTTGGTATCCCTATCTGAAACAATAGTTTTGGGTAGACCATGAAGTCTAACCACTTCCTTAAAGAAGAGTCTTGCAATGTTTCTTGCATCATCTATTTTGTGACAGGGTATAAAATGAGCCATTTTACTAAATCTTTCCACTATCACAAAAATAGAATCCATGCCTCTCTAGGTCTTGGGCAAGCCCAAAATAAAATCCATACTTATATCAACCCATGGAGAGTTAGCAACAGGTAAGGGTAAATAGGAACCATGAGGCATTACTTTAGAATTTTCTTGTAAACAAGCTATACATCTAGAGAAAAACCTCTCAACATCCCTTCTCATGTGGGCCCAAAAGAACTTTTCTTTTAAAAAGCTTAGAGTTTTCCTAGCTCCAAAGTGCCCCATGAGTCCACCCTGATGACTTTCTTTTACAAGGAGTTTTCTAATAGATCCTTGGGGTATACATATCCTACCTTCTTTATACAAGTACCCCTCAGAAATATAGAAACCTCCTTGAGGTTTTGCTAAACACTTTGTGTAATATTCATTAAGCTCAGAGTCATTGTAGTACAATTCCTTTATGTGATCAAATCCCAAGATTTGAGATCCAAGGGAGACTAGCAAGGTATGTCTCCTAGAAAGGGCATCAGTCACAACATTATTTTTCCCTATCTTCTATTTGATCACATATGGGAATTGTTCCAAAAACTCTACCCATTTAGCATGCCTTTTATTTAATTTGCCTTGGCCTCTCAAGTACTTAAGTGACTCATGGTCACTATGAATGAAAAATTCCTTGGGAATGAGGTAATGTTCCCAAGTTTGAAGGGCCCTAACCAAAGCATAGAGATCCTTGTCATAGGTAGGGTAGTTAAGGGAGGCACCTTTAAGTTTTTCACTGAAATAAGCAATTGGGTGCCCACCCTGTAACAAAACCGCCCCTATGCCAACTTCAGAGGCATCACATTCTAGCTCAAAAGTTTTTGAAAAATCGAGAAGAGCTAGAAGTGGTGCATGAGTAATCTTATCCTTTAAGGTTAGAAAGGCTTTCTCTTGTTGCTCTCCCCAAATGAATTCTACATTTTTCTTCACTAACTCATTCAATGGGGAGGCAAGTATGGAGAAATTAGGAAAAAACCTTCTATAAAAGCTTGCCAAACCATGGAAGCTCCTAATATCTCCAACACTTTTTGGAGTAGGCCATTCTTGGATGGCCTTGATTTTCTCGGGGTCCACATGAACCCCTTTTTTATTAATAATAAAACCTAAGAATATGACACTATCTACACAAAAGGTACATTTTTCTAGGTTTCCAAAGAGTTGATTTTCCCTAACTATATGAAAGAATTGCCTTAAGTGTCCTAGATGATCACTTAGGCTTCTACTATATATAAGGATATCATCAAAATAAACTACTACAAATTTACCTATACAATCCCTTAGAACATGATTCATGAGACGCATAAAATTACTAGGAGCATTGGTGAGACCAAACGGCATCACCAACCATACGATCCTTGTTACAATCTTACATTTTACAATTTTGCAATCCCTTCCCAATCCTAAGAAGAACCTCAACCTTAACATCTTTGCTGACCACAAAGATATCAAACTCAAGTTTTGCTAGATTGTTAGTATATATAACTGATTCAATACAAAACACGTTCTTTTGACTACCATGCTTGTTCAGTTCTCCATACAAGTGTGATTATGTAGCTTACCTTACCATCATATTTCAAAATTCCTTTTTGTTTTATAACTTATTTTCCTGTTCTGTTCATTTTGCAGGACAATCCCATTTGCCTGGAATCTCATTACAGCTGGTTATGTTGAACAATCTGTATATGGGGTATGCACGCGCTGTTTTTTTGAACTCACTATTTATTGTATTACCTGAGTAGTAAATCTTTCTTTTAAGAAAACTTCACAATTAACATGGTTTGTACAATTTTATAGGTAGTGGTCAACACACTCGGTCTCCTGTTTATTGGGAAGCTGCTTGAGCCAATATGGGGTTCCAGGGAGTTCTTTAAATTCATCTTTGTGGTTAATCTTCTAACTTCAGTATGTGTATTCATCACTGCTATTGCCTTGTACTACATTACGAGGCTGGAGACTTACCTGTATGTATATCAAATCCATCAAAATTGAAGATGATATTTTCTCTCTACTGCTCATGATGATTTTATCTTTTTTATCTTTCACTGTATTTGAGTTCTCCCTTTCCCACACCTTGTGCTGCACTTTAACTCTCCAATTTTATTTTATTTATTTATTTATTTTTAAATTAAAAGCTAAATGAAGGTCCATTTTAAGTTTGATTACTTGTGCTCTGTTGGATTTGACTCACAGAAAACATTGTGGTTCTGGATATCAGCTAAAACCTATAGTAATAATTGAAACAGAAGTTTCGTTTTGGTGGTCCCCAAGATTTGCAAGTTACTTGTTTTCTAGGCTTATTCGTTGAATCTTAAGAGGCATTCAATTTTCTATTTCTACCTTGAACAAATTCTTTTGATTTTAATACTCTCTTTCAATGTTTTAGTTACTTTCCAATTTCCGGATTTCATGGAGTTATATCTGGTTTCTTGGTTGGCATCAAGCAAATTATACCAGATCAAGAGCTCCCTTTTATCAAGATAAAAACAAAGGTTTGATACTCTTA